TGTGCTCTTCCGATCTATATCAAAACTTTTATACACATGAAACATACAATTTTAGTTGAATAATTAAAGTTTATTTTCAATTAAAGACTTCATTACTTGAGTTTTATTTTTTAATTGTACAACAGTTTTATAAAGATAAGTATCATTTAGCTATTTTTTTTAAATTAAAGACAGAATCACTTGGGTTTTATTTTTTAATTTGGTACAATGATTTTTTGTTCAAAAAGTATGCCTATACTTGACAACTTTTTTTACCTTTTTTTAAAAGGTAATTTTTTAAATGTTATTATCTACCGTATATAAGCGATTAATAAAGAAATGTCATGTACATATATTGTTTATTATTTATGTATTGTATTTATTTTATTTTCTATTTATTATTAATTTAAATTTGACAAACACATCATATAATATATATTATCTTAATTAATATTATTAACTTTCAAAAATAAATTTATATTTTTGATTCTTTTCTTTATTATATATTAATATATAATAAATATAGTACGTAAAATTAATGGAAAATTAAATAAAAATTTTTAGTGATTGATTATTTTATTGATTATTTTATTGTAAATAGTAATATTTAACAATTTTAGCTGTATCATTGCTGTTTGTAATTGCTTTTAGCTTAAATGTATTTATAAATAAACGGAAAACATTTATAAAAAATATTTACTGATAAACGTTTATAAATAAATAGAATAATGTTTAGGGAAAAATTGAGGGTTTTTTCGGGATTCACTTAGGGAGATTCAGGGAGAATCCGAGGCTGCTTTAGGGGGAAGTCGGTAAAGGCATCTGGCAACACTGCCGTATAGTCACAGGTATTCACCCGACTTTTAGGTTACACGACAATTTCCATAAAAAAAGAGGGGATGTGGTTGGTAGCAACGAAAATCTCTAAGCATCCATAATTTAGTTTCTGCACGGTGGTAACATTGCCGTGTAGGTAGTGTAGGCTGCGGTAACCTTTTTGGCGCGCGCGTATGTCAAATAATAAATAATATAATATAAACGTA